TTCATGAGAGTGTAGAATATGGTCGGAGTGTTGGTTAAACCGAAAGGCATCATCAAGAACTTGAACGTTCCATACCTAGTGATATGAACCATTAAGTTGATCATAATTCTGCCAAAGACCCTTTAACTATTCATGGAGGACCAATGACAAGAGTTAAAGCTAAAAGGATTAAAGAAGCCTTAATTTGTTTATTGGAAGGCATTTGGAAAGAGCAAGCTGATCAAGACTCAGTCAAAGTTCTATGGATGCAAGAAGAACCAAAAATAATCAACATGATTCAAATAAGTTCAAATCATGAAGACAAAGTCCAGCTTTGAGAGAAGGATGAATTTTTAGCCTATTTTGAAGAATAAAGGCCATTCAACCATATTGGACCATATTAGGAATTGTGGGCTTATTCATGAATAATCATTCAAATCAATTCAAAGCATATTTATGAGTGATCTACATTCATGAATTAGAAATATGAATGTCATTTAATGTATTTAATGGATTCATTCCCTTTGTTCTTGGCCTTTGTACTATATAAACAAGGCTGACTTTCTTTGTAATGAGGCAATTGAGAAGTATAATCATCTTTCAACATTGGTGAGTGTTTTGTTTTGAAGTTCTTGTATAAACTTTGGAACTTATCAAGCTTTTCTGCTTGTGGGGTTCAAAACCCCAAAAAAAATTGCTTTTCCTTTCAACTTATCAAACTTCGTAGTTTGTGGTATTTTAAGGGAATCAAAGTGTTGTTCTAATTATTTCTTTATTGATAAAGTGATTGGAATAGTTTCCCTTACTTTAATCTTGAACAATCCGTCTTATTTCAATTCATTGGAGGGTGTCAATTTTCATTCCATATGTATTATAGCTCTTTACCTATTGGGGTGTATGGTTACTAAGTTGATGATTACTATCACCTGGTTACATAAGTAGTCTTCACTTTGTCGCCTTTAATAATGCACATCTGCCAGTATCCCGACTAAAGGTTGAGTTTGGAGAAGTAATTTGTCTGTGATGAGTGGGATGAGATACTTATTCTTTATCGTCACCTTGTTTAGGCCTTGATAATTGATGCATAATCAAAGTTAATTTGGATTTTCACGCTCCCTTCGATTGTAATGCCAATAGTTGTTGTGGGTCCTTAGTTCCTACTCGAGAAACAAGAACCATATAAGGGTCGCCGCCTCTCATTAGACACAGGAGTTTAGGAATGACATTAGGACCAACTTGGCCGTGTGCATGAACTCCATTCTAAGGATTGCTTGGAAGTCGTCCAATGACAACACCATCATGTTTGTGCTTTTTCTTCACATCCCAATTTTGATTGGGACCCCCCTTCGCCAACTCGGAGATATGCTTGGCCTTCGAGTTCATAGCCTTTATCTGAGGAAACAAAGTCGATGAGCCTTTATCTGAAGATTGTTTCTTCTTCCTTGAGTCATTTGAGGAAACAAAGTCGATGAGCCTTTCAGTAGTTGTGATTGGCCCGACGAAATCGATGACATTCCTTCGATTCAGTTCTTGCTGTGCCCATGGCTTTAGGCAATCGTGGAAGTTAAACTTGTCCTTCTTAGACATGTCTTGTATGTCTAACATCTGTGCTGAAAATTGCTTTATGTAGTCTTGAATAGAAGTACTTTGGCTGAGTTGTCTCAGCTTTCTTCTTGTGATGAACTCAGTGTTCTGGGGTAGGAACTGAGTTCTCAACTTCTGCTTCAAGTCCTCCCATAAGTCCATTCGGCACCGACCTTGTTGGATCTCTTCCTACTATATTTGCCATCATAGTTTTACATCCTTATTCAGATACATGATTACCTTTGAAACTTTGGTTTCTTTAGAATCGGGCCTTGTTGCTCGGAAATACTATTCCATATCGAATAGAGAATTCTTGAGTTCCTTCGCATCCCTAGCACCCACGTAATAATGCAACTTGGGTGCCCTTAAGTTTTATGGTAGAGCAATGCGAGTGTTGTTCCCTCTTGCATTAAGAGCCCTCATGAGCAACATAATCCTATCCATGAGGTTCGCTATGACATCATGTAGGTGCTGCATAGATTCTTTAGTATCTTATGTCAATCGACTGACTCGGGACTCAACCTTATCGATCCAAGATTCTACCTCTTGTGAGTTCTCTATCCCATGGAGCCTTCTCTATCTGAGTCTAGAGTTCTTCTAGACTCGCTTCGAGAACATCAAGGCCAGTTTCAGTAGTTGTAAGCCTCTCCTTATGACTTTTCTTTTCGATTGGTGCTCTAGATTGTGCTTCCTCTGCTCGCAAAGAATAGCCAGATTGTGCTTCCTCTCCTTACTATTTTTGCTGTCGTGCTCCTCTTGAGTGACTCCAATAGCTTGAGAGCGAGTTTGCACTTGCAACTCATCTACGACTGCTTGGGGCAATGGTTCGACTTGCCTTGTCTTGGTTGATTCACAATGGTGCTTCGCCATGGCGAAATTGTGAACTTTTATTGTTTGCTTGAATTGCTTGCCCCCTTTGATACCAAATGTCACGAACTTAGCAATAATTACCTAAATCGTGAGATACCCTTGCGTTATCCATCCACAAAGGATCAGCTTAATTGTAACCTTACTCAAGTCCCGAAGGACCTATAAAAGAGCAAATTAATTAGTTCAAAAAACGAGCGGCGGACAAGTCTTGACGTCTTGCGAAGAGGGTAGCATTACAAGCAATTCAACGAACACTTGGTATGCAAGAGAGAAAAGAGTGGAAAGGAAAAACAAGGACTTTAGAAGGCAAATGAAAAGTCCTAAGTCCACAAACCACCGCTCATAGGGTGTTGGGCGTGTTGGCAAGTCCCCGTAGACTTTATATGCGAACTTGTGAATCCAATCAACGCTCAACACTACTTCAAACCTCCATCTAGCCCATTGCCACTCGGGTGATTCTAGGATGCTGAGATGGTTGATGTTTCACATCGCACCATAGCTTATAGAAAACAGGCCATGACATGTGAAAAGTGGGCTACTTTGGGGTAATTTTGCCTATTCTGATGAGTGATCGTTCTACATCCCTACTAACTATTCCCACTCATAATTTTCAAGCAAAAATATAAAAAAACAAAGCAAAACACGATGCCAAACATATGCACAAGCAAACAAAAGTGACCAACATTTGGTTAGCGAAGGTGTTGCAGGTGCATGGTTCCTGTCCGTGATAATACGCTACTGTTTCTCATAAGCTTGTATAATTGAACTTGATACTATGTTTAATAACCCAAGAAAACCTATGCTGACTCTTTCTGATCTCTTTCTCCTAGTGGAGTGAGACCTTTCCACTATTCAGTGAGATAAAGTTGAGGAGTGACACCTTTCCTCTTTTAGTGGGTTCTAAGTTGAGTCTAGATCCCTGGTAATATTTGGTCAAAGGATGGACCTTGGTACAATAGTAAGGTTGCTTGTTATGTTTCTCTTTCTCCAAGATGAGTAAGACCTTCCTCTATTTAGTGGGATCAAGTTGAGGAGTGAGATCTTTCCTCTTTTAGTGGGATCAGGTTGAGCCTAGATCCCTGTGCAATAATAGTTGGCCGGAGAGTAGACCTTGGTGTGATAGTAAGTTGGCCATTTACTACTCAAGACATTGGGGTTCGAGTTTAAAAATATCCTCCCTTGATCCCACATATATACACCTTCCTCAGATTCCACATTAACTGGAGTCTCGTGCATTAGATTTGTCTTTTTTAATCTCTACTTTGTTCCTATTTTTATGACCATGTTTATTTCGAGGGAAGAAGTCGAGTTGGCTTCTACAAGTCAAGTTAGATTAATTTGTATGGTTGAAACAGGAATGGTTAAACTAATTTAAACAAGTTTTTATTGTGTAGAAAAACATGTTCAATTCTCATAAACACTAATATTCAGATAACTTTTAATAATTCTCTTAGGTCTCATTCCATTGGTCTTATTACATTGTCTGGAGTCATTTAATTGCAGGTAGGCCTTTTCAGTGTCATAGTCAAAGGTAACAATATGGAGTTGCTGTGAGATTCAGTAGATTAAAGTAGTTCTTATGGTTAGAGGTACTGTAGTGCACAAGTTTATCAGGTGTTGGCTGCTACCACTTTTGAGGTAGTCTGGTTTGTAGTCATAGTTGACTTTGCAAGGATGCATCTTCTGTGCCTGTTGGCACCACCTAAAATGATGGCTTTATATTTGTTATAGACCGTTGCTTACCATTGCAAGTAAGCAATCGGTAACTTGAATTTTGTGACATCTTTGTACTTATTATATCACGACCATGATCGTAGGTCCTGACTGAGCTTCACTAAGGTGAATTTAGCTTCTTGATTTACTCAAATAACTAGTTTTTGGACATTATCTGAACTAAATATATGATAGCCCATGAATTGTTGTCTCATGGCATGGCTGTGTGCTAATGTATTCCTAGTACCAAGTGATGTCAATTGGCACATCTCTCTATTGACTAGCTCGCACAACAACAACAAAAAACCCGAAGTCCCAACTATTTGGGGTTCTTTTGCCGCCATTGAGAACTGGCTGGCTGGCACAGGATAAATATTTTCCTTGTCATATTTTGGACTCTAAACCCTTTCTGGCATGGGACACATGCTAGCTCGTGCCAACTGATGCAGTATTTTTTCACCGTCTTCATATATCAACACTGGCATTGAGCGCAGACTAATATCCACACTAGCCTTTTTTATGATTGTATTGTTTTAGTTGATTGATTGTCATGTTCTGTTAAAGTTGTGATACGTGCCAACCAAAGAACATGGCAACATTTTGAAGCCAACTTAGTGATTGCAACGCTTGAGTCTGATTTTCCAAACAAACCAGTGGGCTATTAATTAACGTTTTAAGAAGTAATTCTCGTTGTCTACGTTGTACCACGGTATAGGAAATGTCCGACTGAAACAAAATAGCACAATGCTTGATATCGTTTTTATAATTGTAATATTTTGCTTTTGATGTCGAGCCACATCAGATATTACTGCTCTTTTGTTGGATCCCTTTGACAAACTATTCCTCACTTACAGGTACCAAGATGATGGTGATCCGGGCTACAATGACCATGTGCTCCTGCAATAATAACATGCCAGATTCTCTAGTCCTGTTGATTTCGGTAGCCGATATGCATTAGACGAGGACATGTTTGGAGAATTCGGGAATGAAGCCATTGGTCCGCGAGACACCATATATTTTGGGTCACTGTAATTGACATCCTCAAATGTCGATTTCTAGTTCAGTTAAATGACGTATTCTGTTTAGTTCTTCAATTCTCTGAATTGTTGTTCCTGTTGAACCAATGAGCTTCACCACGGTTTCTACACAGTGGCCTCTTGGTGGGATGATGCTAAATGGTTGCAACAAGTAGTTCCTTGAAGAGCCAAGGTATGATTGTGTGATAGTGCTGTGAATTGTGTTCCCAGTAAGGATGATGCAGAGTTCAAAGAACTGGAAACTCTCGGTCAACATCCGGTTCTTAAATGTCTTTTTAAGGGTTGGGTAGGGTATCACGGTAAGGATGCAGAGTCATAATTCATTTGCAGGACATACACGTCTGTATTATGCTGGACGAGGGCTATTATGTTCTGATCCACCAATATTAATTCACTTTTTCTATTTCCCTTTTGGTTTATTTTTTGCATAGTATTTTTTTTATTTTTTGAAATATGAGATTATTTTCTTTCTTGACCTCTGTTCTGTCATCTTGCCATGGTTGCCTTTGCCTCCTCACTATCGTCCTTGACCTCCATCGATTATGCCTTTGCGCTCACCCTTATTTGTCGATTGTGTCTTTGTTCGTTGTCTTCCTCTCCGCCATCGTCCTTGCCCTCCATCGATTATGCCTTTGCGCTCACCCTTATTTGTCGATTGTGTCCTTGTTCGTTGTCTTCCTCTCCGTCATAACACGAAGTGATCACTCTAATAGAGTAAGGATGAGAGGAGGTACTACTTTGTGCTAATTCATGAGGTGGTGGTTGCCTTTGCTAGTGGCAGATTGCAACACCCTCACAATGTATACCACTTGCTTGGTTGCGGTGCATAGAAAGCAAACAACGAGAGCTATGGCGGAGACAAAGGAGAGGCAAGAGTCTTGTTGTGATGGATAAGGGTGAAGGCGATGGGATGGAAGTAGCCACATGAAGATGGTGGTACAAGGCGACAAAGACGTCGATGAAAGGCAAAGGTGGCTACAACGAGATAATTGGTTAGAGGTGGCCATAATGAGAAGAAGGTCAAGAGATATATCATCTTTAAAAAAAAAAAGAAATATTTGTAAAAAAAACAAAACATTCTGTAAAGATAAAAAAAAAGGTGAAAGCCAAAGTAGGAAATATTGAAGTTCAGGTAATAGCTCAATGATGCACCTAAGGAACCATTTATGGTATGCCAAGATGACTATTGAATCGGAGCGAAGATGAACTCCGTGATTACTTATTACTTACGAGAGACATTCAACCATCATTTATACAAAAAATCATGAATCGAGTTGTCCGATGATTCAACCATCATTTATACAAAAAATCATGAACCGAGTTATCCGATGTTCATGCTAATGAAGGGATAGATAAGCTGTCATTCCGATCTGAGTATTATAATGTGGATCTAAGAGTATTATAAGAACAAACATTATGAATGAATATAAAGTATATGTAGATAATATATACTTCTTATATTTAGGTCAAATTAGGTCAAAATTCCACATCTTTTATCTATTGAATGGAGATCCCTCTTTAACATATCCACTGAAATAAATGCAAAGAAGAAAGCTACCAACAGATGGCCTTTGTTCCAGCAATACTCAACGGAGAAGACCATCCATGTTACCTATTCAGCTTCCAGCAAACTAGGAAATAAGATGTCGCAGAGCTTCATCGGCAACAGCACGCAAATTCCACTTGACTGGTTCTTCTGCTAGTGAGTAGTTCACATCAGTGATCGATCTTTCATCAATGTTTGCAGAGATACAAAACAATGGTGCAGATTGTACAACTCAACATTGTTCGATACTCTGCAAGTTAGGAAAGCATGTCTATACATTTACTTAATAGCGCCAGAATAGTCAGCACAGCAAGACACAATATCCAGACTAATTCTCTTGACACACGAAGAAGAGTGGAGAAGGAATACAGGCTTTAGCTTCATAGCTCAGCATGCGGAGACAATAATATGGATTAGCGTTAAGTCTTTTTGGCCGCATTTAGATGCTATGGTTCCTGCATAACAAGCGAACAAGACTCGTAGGGTTATGCCTTCAGACTCGAGTGATCATGAAGAAATTCTATAATATCTAAGTTCAGTGATGTTAATTGAAAATACAGGAAAAATGGGTGCAAGTCAAACTTTTAGTACAACTTTGAACACCAATCAGAGGATCCATCAATAGGCAATCTTCAACCATGATTGTATAGAAAAATGCCATGACTCTCTTCATTGATTGGAATAACCAGAGTTTGCTCGGCCAGAATGATCTACCATGCAATATCTTCTGAGAAATGAGAAAGAAGAAGGATTATCATATAAATGTGCCACCAGGGTTTTATCAATAGGATAATCTTCGACTATAGAAGGATGAAACGGTATTAATGCTCTATTAATTTGACAAACAAGAGTCATCAGGCAGATCGATTACCATGCAATATCTTCCATTAGAAATATGAAACAGCAAGATTTATATATGTGCTATGACAGAAACAGTTAGAAATTGAAAAAGATTGAGTGCTTTTCCGAGAATGATGGTTTCAAATTATGTTGAAGAGCATTGAAGCAGATTTCACTCATAAATATGAAATTTGAAGAAGCGATTGGAAAGTGAAGAAGGTAAATTACAAGGTTATGATGAGTTGGCAGGAAGAACTTGCATTTTCTTTTTGGCACCTGGATACATAGCTAAATGGTCACCATGGTCATGACCAACAATGTACACTTGATGGTACACAGGCAGCACACCAGTGGAATTGCTATCCAGGAAAGTGGCAGCCAAATACACGTATAATAGACACAAATAACAACAGAGACATACTGGCTCATGGATGCCTTGGTATACACAAATGGACTTTTTCATATATACCCTTCTTTTATATCTGAACAAGGTTACTAATTCTCAATTCTAGCTTTAAATAGTAGATGAAGACATCTAAATCACAAATCATCTTGATTATCTCATAACCTTGTCCACCAGAGTTTGAAAATTTATGCACTTTTTGTTTCTTAAAAAGAGAAGCTGGTTCACATATTATCCTTGTCCAAAGATACACTGGGGTGAGATGAGGAAACAAGACAAACTCAAGCAAGGTCCAAAGCTTTTCCATGTGAAAAGTACAGTTGGCTAAGGGGCTTGGCCAGGCTCTAATAAGGTTCACAGTAAGCCCCATTAACATGCAACTGATTGAGCTTGGCAAGGATCAACCTATTCAAGCTTAGCCCTGGCCTGACACTTGGTGAAAATGGCATGTCAGTAGTCACTTCTCTTGGTAAGAATTATAGGTCTCTCAAAATAGAAAGACAGAATGGCATGTCAGTAGTCACTACTCTCCGAGGCCCAGCTCAGATGTGGTACAACCGACTTAGGCCAGCCTCGATTGCATCCTTCGACTAGTTGGCCAAAGAGTTCGAGCTTAACTTCCTTGCCAACGCACGGCCAAAGCCGCCTGCAGCCGTGCTCCTCGGCCTCAGCCAGAAAGACGACGAGCCTCTCTCCCATTTCGTCGCCCGTTTCGCTACTATGACCTGAGGAGTTCCTGATGCTCACCCTTCTCTGTTAATGCAGGCGTGTTTGATGGGTCTGCGACCGTCCAGATTCTTTTGGTCGCTGGTTGAATGGTCGATGATGACCGTCCCCGAGATGCTTCAGTGCTGCCGAGGCATTGGTGGCAGGAAGGCACGAAGAGCACAAGAGGCCCTACGTAGAATCATCCCGAGGGCAAGTTCCGAGCCCACCAAGAAGAAGGCTTGATCGACTCGACCAACCGCTCCCGAAGCCCTCTCTCCCACCATTGAATTCATCCGGAACGAAAATATTCCTCCAGATCAGAGAGAGAGAGAGGACTCTTAAGAGCGCCCAACCCAATAAAGACCATACAAGAACTCATAAATCGCTCCAAATACTATCGATTTCATCGTGACTATGGTCACGACACCGAGGAATGCCATGACTCGAAGAACCAGATCGAGGAGCTCATCCGTCGAGGGCACCTCAGACACTATATCAGAAGGCCACGAGAATCCTCTTCGCACCCCTCGAGTCTTGTTGAGAAGCAGATCGACGTAATCATCGGCGGGCCAGCCTCGGGAGGAGATAGCACGTCGGGACGGAAGGCCTATGCCCAAGCAGTTGCGGAAAAGAACCCTTGACAGCAACAAGAGCTCGAGATCACCTTCCCGACGGGAGAAACCGAGCAACCCGACCATGACAACGCACTAGTGATCTCGGTCAGGATTGCCAATGCTCGGGTCAAAAGGATTATGGTGGACACCGGGAGTTCCGCCGACATCCTGTATTTCGACGCGTTCCAGAAGCTTGGCCTAGCCAAAGAAGACCTTACTCCGATGCCGTTGGCACTCACTGGGTTCACGGGAGACTCCATCTTGCCCCTCGATACCGTTATTCTGCCAGTTATCTTAGGGGAAGAGCCGAGATCCAAGAATGTCATGATGACTTTTATTGTTGTGGAGTTCCCCTCGGTGTACAATGCCATCCTGGGCCGCCCGACCGTCAACAAGTTCAGAGCCGTCATCTCCACCTACCATCGGGCGATAAAGTTCCCAACACGAGCCAGGGTCGGGGAGGTGCGGAGCGCCCCACAGGGAATCAATCAAGACAATGTTACCTGGAGACCATCATACTATCGAAGAGACAGAAGCATGAGCAGCCCGTCGTCGACCCTCGGGACGTTGCAAAACCGTCACTGCGTCCCAAACCGACCAAACACACCCTAGAGGTTCTGCTAGACAGGAACCAATCCGACAGGATCGTGAAGATCGAGTCAGAACTCCCAGAGGAAGAATGAGTACAACTCATTGACTTTCTGACCGAAAATGCCGACGTCTTCGCTTGGTCGCCAAAAGACATGCTCGGGATTGATCGAAGAGTGGTACAGCATTACCTGAACATTTGACCCCCAGGCATAACCAGTGAAGCAGAAGCCGCGGAAGCTGGCTCCCAACCGACAAAGGCGGTAAGCGATGAAGTAGAGCGTTTGCTGGCGGCGGGATTCATAGCCGAGGCAAAATACCCCCGTTGGTTATCCAATATAGTCCTCGTTAAAAAACCTAATGGAAGCTGGAGAATGTGCGTTGACTACACCGACCTTAACCGAGCATGCCCAAAGGACTGTTATCCATCCCCGAGGATCGACCAACTGGTCGATGCAACCTCGGGGCATGAGCTTCTTTCGTTCATGGACGCCTTCTCGGGATATAATCAAATCAAAATGGCCCCTGAGGACCAGGAACATACAGCCTTCATCACACACCGAGGAGTCTACTACTACAAGGTCATGCCATTCGGGTTAAAGAATGCCGAGGCGACATACCAAAGAATGGTGAACAAGATGTTCGCTCACTAGATCGGGAGAAACATGAAGGTTTATGTCGATGACATGATCGTGAAAAGCAAGTTCGCTCGAACTCACCTAGCGGACCTGGCTGAGGCGTTTAAGACAATCAAGAAGTTCGGCATGCGCCTCAACCCTGCCAAGTGTGCCTTCGGCGTCGGCTCGGGAAAATTCCTCGGCTTTATCATCCACCAAAGGGGGATAGACGCCAACCCCGGAAGGTTCAAGCCATCATCAACATGCAATCCCCTCGCTCGATAACAAAGGTATAGCGCCTGATTGAGAGACTTACTGCTCTCACCCGATTCTTGTCCCAATCAGGGGACAAATGCCTGCCCTTTTTCCGAGCTTTGAAGAGCCCAAAGGACTTTAGGTGGACCTCGGGATGTGAAGAGGCCTTTGCCCAGCTCAAGGAATATCTCGCCCGACTACCTCGATTCGCCTCGGTTGCTTCGGGTGAGCCGCTTAGCCTCTACCTCGCGGCATCCGAACACACAGTCAGCTCTGTCCTAGCCGAGGAGGATTTCGGGGCACAACAACCAATCTATTACACGAGCCACATCCTGAACGGACCCGAGGCACGATATCAACCGATCGAGAAGTTAGCCTTAGCGCTTGTACAGAAGGCCCGAAAGCTGCGCCCGTATTTCCAAGCCCACTCGATCCAGGTAGTGACCGACCAACCGTTAAGGCAGATTCTATCCAAATTTGACATATCAGGGCGGATGCTCAAATGGTCGGTAGAGCTCGGAGAATTTGACATACAATACATCCCGAGGACGGCCATCAAAGCTTAAGCCATCACCAACTTCGTCTCGGAGTTAACCCCTCCCGAAGACAATAACGGCGTGCACACCGTGCAACGATGGACTCTGCATGTGGATGGCTTGGCAAACGCTGAAAGAGGAGCCGGAGTCGTTCTAAAGGGACCCGATGGCCAATAGTACAGACACACACTTCGCTTCGGATTCAAAGCCACTAACAACGAAGCTGCGTACGAAGCACTCTTGTCCAGGCTTAAAGTAACCCTGGAGCTCCAGGTAAGAAGCATCGAGGTTTTCACTGACTCGCAGTTGGTGGTCGGTCACATCAATGAGGACTATGAGGCTCGAGATACAACTATGTCAAAATACTTGTCGAAGGCAAGATAACTCGCTAGTCGCTTCTAACACTTTACGGTGACAACAGTTCCTTAAACAGCAAGACTCGCTGTTCAAGGTTGCACTAGGTATGCCGCATGTTACGGAGTTGCTCCCGGAAAGTTCAGAACGACGCCATTGGGTACGAAGCTGCCCTGGAAAGCTCGGACGACACCGCTTGGTGCCGATCTGTGTAGGTCGACCGGCGTCCGCACGGAAGATATGGGCTGGCCGCTTAAGGGGTTGACAGTCATTAACGAACTAGGTACAACCGACCCCTATGTGCAGGTATAAAAACCCACCACTTTGTCACGGACAAAGTTCTAAACAGGATGTTTGATGTAATACTTATGTATGTCCGTGTCTTTATGTTTGTTCATGCTTTGCACAGCATGTAGAGGAACGGTCGAAGGCTTAACAACCCCATTTTAGTTGGGTTTGGTGGCTTTCTTAGGCTTGTAAATAAATGTTGTGTCATGTGGACACTTGTGAGAGATATTCGGTCTGTAGTGGACCATTTTGACCGTTTGTTGTGCAACCGTTCAGAGCTTATAAAGTCTGTTTATAATTTGCATTGTCTATGAAGTGTTTTCGGAAATGTTTGCTTGTGGATCCCGAGTGAGGCGTTTTCTCTAACCCGTTTTCTCTTTTGTAGGTCCTAAGGGACCATGGGAGGCTTCGGGGAGGCTGACCTTTGCGGACGGACACGCAAGGGTGCCGCACGACTTAGGCAAAACCAGCTAAGTCCGTGACAGATGGAATCAGAGTAGGACAAACACTCATAGAAACACTTGGCATGCAAACGTAGGGGACGTAGCGGGGCTGCGTTGAGGGCAGTCAGCACACGCGTGACCGTTTGGGGGAAAACGGGCATGGAATTGTAGGGAAAAGGAGTCACTCGGAGGAGCGGGCATCTAAGATTAGCATTCAGAGGAATGGCCAACCCTTCGCGCAAGTGGCACCACGAGAACAAGCAAGCTTGGAAGAATGCGAAGCGCACAAAGGTTGGGATGGCTGAGTTTGAGCTACGAGTCAACGTTGACAACTATACTTGATGGTGCTCAAGGCAAGCGAGGCGCTTGGTAAAGGGTGAGACCATACAAGGTGGAATGAGTTGCTCAGCGACCGAAAGAGTTGTGCAAAGCTCACAGAGGTGAGGGGAATTGCTAACTCGAAGAATTCGGTACTCATGCATGGGCTTGTATGCGGACGATGGAATGTTCGTGGCCATCCCAAGGCGACCAAAACTCGACGCTATGGAGCATTGAAACTTTCTCTTCGGCATGTAAAGGATACATCCGTAAAAGGCTGAAGTGTGCAGCGAGTTCAGCATGTTGCTAGGCCTTGAGTGGTGCAGTAGGGGCTGTATTGACGTGGAGTCGCAATCTAGCAAGTGCGTTTGCAGGAGGCAGAACAATGCGTAGTTTGTTCAGCAAATCGGAGTAGTCCAAGGGGATGGTGGTCTCCGAAACGAAGAGAGATGTTGCTCCAACGGGATAGATATCCAGGAGGGGTAAATCCCGACTCTCTAAAGGGAGAATCATGTGCAATAGACTACACATGTTGAGGAGGAGTACCTCAAAAACAACAACTCCACGAAGCTCAATGGACCAAGCGAGCGACGAGGAGTAGTCACATGATCTTGCTTGAGAGAATGCATTGGTGGATGCATTGCGAGATCAAGTGGGGGAGCGACCCAATGCAACACAAATGAAGGCACACTTGGAGTCGATATGGAGATCAGACTTGAGGGAGGGCTGACCCGTGGAATGGTGGGCACGAGGGCCACCATCAACTCAATACGAAAATGAGGAGCGGAGCAACTTGGGTGTAACTTGGCAAAGTACCCAAGCCGCATGAAGGGAGCCGACATAGAAGATGAAACATGGAGTGGAGGCACAAAGCTTTCCTTGGACAGAGGTCAAGGACATGAACTCTTGCAGAGGCAAGAGCAGGATCATGTTGTTCCATGGGTCCTTCATTCTGATGGAGCGGACTCATCTTGCATGGTGCCAAAGACAAAGGGAGCTTATAGGCATATGCACCTTATCTCGGAGAAACATTTGATGGAGGAACTAAGGCGACTAAACTTGTGGAGGCGAAGTTGGGTTCAAAAGGCCTTGGCACGAGGCAAGAGGACGCGGAGGCATGTAGTATTGAAGAATATGCCACAGTGTTGTCATTCAAGTTGCCATGAAAGAAGCGGTGCGCAACGGAGATTGTGCTAGTAGGGGCAGAGGCCTAGGATCCAGACAATGGTGCACTATTTTCAGCGAAGTCGGTGGACTTCGGGAGCTACTAGGCGATGGACTGTCCTAGAGCAGTGCTTCATCTAGGTGTGATCCAAGAGCGGGTGGATGAAGGTCGATTGCCAAAGGAGCGAACAAAATCGAAGGTGGAAGAGACCCTACGATGTATTGGCAGAGGCCACACATGGAGGGATCACAATTCGAGTTCATCCCACTAGGATCAGAATGCAATGGAGATGTCACCAGGAGGCGACATGGTGTAGCGGATCGTGGTGGAACAGTTCGTGGCAATGCGATACACATGACTAGTCCCGTGAGGGACTATATCATACGGAGGTATGATCAGGAACTACTGGAAGCTCTACTTCGGTGAACAACACGACGGCAAGAAGGGTTATAGATTCAAGGATTGAAGGCCATGGTACCGCAGAGGCGGGTCTTTCGTACGTGCATCGAATCTTGCATCAGATGAAAGCCTTGGTTATCAGCATATGGGGGTTGTGTTCCACCAAGGGAAAAGTTCGAATGCAAGTACCAGTGAGTCCCATGGGAGGGACTTGATCATGCAGAGGTATGATTGAAGCAGCTGGAGAGTTGGACTACTCCAGAGCCCATATTCGCTTAAGGGAGCCCGGCAAGTCAGAGGACAAAGTCGGGTAAGTGAACGTTGCTACTAAGGAAGCTAAGGAGAACAGAATCGGTGCAAACCCTACAACGTGATGGCAGAGGCCATGCATAGGAGTTGCAGTCTATCTTTCCATTGACCAAAGGGAGTTGCTTGGAGAACACAGAGGTGTTGAAGTAGGGGGTCGAAAGGGGCGAGGAAGCAACGACGAGTCCAGAGGGACTTAGCTACCCAAAAACAAGCATCAATTAGAATGGAGGTAGACTCGGAGGAGTGCCACAGAGACATATCTACTTATCGTGAAGAAAAGGGATGCAGATGCGAGGCGACGGATAGTAGGGCCATGGGCATGGCAATGCCATGGTACCGCAGAGGCGGGACTTCCGTGAAAGTCATTGATCCCTTGTTCTCATGAACGGAGTGCGTTTGGTCGTGAAAGGGGTTGAGGAGGTGGAGCATGTAGAGGCAAACTCTAAGTATCGAGAAAAGGCTGAAGGGCAGAGGCCAAGGAACTTCGTAAGACCGGTGTCAACGAGCTTCTCATCAAGATAGCCGAAAGTGAAGGACTTCGGGTTGTGCAAGAGTGCACGACCAAGGAACGAAGCAAGCAGTACACGGTGCTGTACATTTGCTACTCAGTGGAGTAGGCCGCAGGGTTGATGGAGAAGACGGTACAATCCCAGAGGCGACCAAATCTATTAGAGAATTACTCTAAGTTGGGGTGAAAACTTCCTGCATTTCAAAAGTTCGATGGCATTGAGAAGGTGAATCACAGTAGCTAACTCAATGCAAGGAGTGCAAACACTTCGAGTGCTTCAGAAGTATGAGCAAAGAGTAGGCGAAGGTCAGTAACCAGCTCGATGCATAGAGTACAACCCTTGAGGAGGTAGGTGAAGTCAAGTAACCATTGCCTTCTCAACTCTTAAGAAAATGGGCGAAACCGAGTATCTCAATTCTCTTATCTATCCAGTAGAGGAGCGCTGCACAGGTTCAAAGATCCTTCGAAGATATTAGAAGACAATAGTTGTCAAATCCTCACCAATGGTGATCAGTGCTACTGAGAGTAGATTATCCGCTTCATTTCCCAACAAAATGCCAATCGAAAGCAAAAGTGATGCGAATCTACTTGGAAGTGACAACTAAGTGAAAGAAGAGTCGGTAGGTAAATTTTGTGGAGGAAGGACCGAAAACTTTAGAAGTTTGCAAGGCGATGCTCGTTAAAATTCCAACGAGCATTCACCCAGTTCAAGTAGCATGAGGCATTTGAGAGACTGGCGCATAGTAAGGATAGTCTTTTCCTTCATCTGGAGGATCCGCAGGAACCAACAGGGATCAACACAACTCAGCCAACCCCACACTAGAGTCAAGAGTCATTGGCGAGTTGAAACAGCATGGTGGATCAAAGGTTTGACTACTCAAAAACAGTAGTGGAGAGCAGTTGGGAGCCAAGAGGCGCATTACAGTTGGAGCAGAAGATTGAAGACTCAGTAAAGGCGAGGAGTTGCAGTGTCGACAAAGGCTTCGACGAGGACGTCGAAGGAATAAGTGGGGGAGAATGTCATGGACAAAGTTTTAAACAGAATGTTTGATGTAATACTTGTGTATGTCCGTGTCTTTATGTTTGTTCATGCTTTGCACAACATGTAGAGGAACGATCGAAGGCTTAACAATCCCATTTTAGTTGGGTTTGGTGGCCTTCTTAGGCTTGTAAATAAATGTTGTGTCATGTGAACACTTGTGAGAGATATTCGGTCTGTAATGGACCATTTGGACCCTTTGTTGTGCAATCGTTCAGAGCTTGTAAAGTCTGTTTGTAATTTGCATTGTCTATGAAGTGTTTTCGGAAATGTTTGCTTGTGGATCCCGAGTGAGACGTTTTCTCTAACCCGTTTTCTCTTTTGTAGGTCCTAAGGGACCATGGGAGGCTTCGGGGAGGCTGACCTTTGCGGACGGATACGCAAAGGTGCCGCATGACTTAAACAAAACCAGCTAAGTCCGTGACAACTTGGCCAGCACCGGAGGAGGATTTTTGGCACATTTAACTATTTTATTCCACTCAACGCTAACTTAAGCTTCGGAAGGGTCGAGTCGAGAAATTCCCCTCCTGACCTCGACCTGTGTGCAGGGGTTGGCAACGATAAAGCAAGCAACAAGACTCACAACTCAACCCGACTCGACGCGCACTTTCGCTGCCTGAGTCTCCGGGTCGACGACCTTGCACATCCAGGATCGGACCGAGCCGTGCTGACTCCTCGGCCACGATGTAGAGGTTCACCAACAGTTTCCTATGCTCCTAAACAGGAAAAAGAATAATCAATAATTCAATATATATGTGTGTATCTATATATGCATATATGTATATATATACATATATATACATACATATATATATATACATATACATACATACATGTATATATACATATACATATATATATACATATATACATATACATATACATATATATATACATATATATATAACAATCAACTTGATTTACCCTCCAATGTCATGATTCTATAACCTAGGAATTTTTGGAACCTTTTTTAGATTTTAGCCTAACTATTAAACCTTCATCCAATTTCATTTCATGTAAATTGTACTGACAGCATTAGTTTATAAAAGCATCATCAATACAAATTCATCACAAAGGAAAAACAAAAAAGTAAATAATAACTATTATTTTCTTCCTTTTCTTCTGTTAGTCCTTTTCTCTCGTCCTACTTATTTCTTCTTCCCCTACTGCATTGTTTTCTACTACAGGCATACCAGACATCTTTGCTGATGCCACTAGAACAGAATAAACTTTACCTTGTTATTGAACTTATATGAAGCCTATTTGTACCTCTAGCACAAAGCTTATTCTTTGCAACAAGTTCAGACACTATGCTGGAAAATCATGAGGAAAACAGGTAAAAAACTTACTGCATAAGATTAAAAAAATACAGCCATGCGGTGGACAAGGATAAGCTCAATTAAATTCGAGCAAACATTCTTTAAAATAGCTTTAGATATATCCTAGACTCAGTCTTCAACTGATGCCAGCACAATGCTTGAACTGGACTAAAGATGATACCTTCCTTGAACAATTGCAAAAAGTTCATTATGAGCACTTAATTGATGTGTGTTATCAAATATGATCTTAATACATCAAAACTCAAATTGAACATGTTCCTAAAATATTTGCCCAATGTTATCAGGATCTTGCTATTTGACAATGCAGATCAAAATGGCTCTTCTGTGCCTCGATTGAGGCCCTAAAAAACAAACAAATAGGTCTACTTATGTATTGAGGTTTCAAGTATTTGATGCACTGTTGTCGACATGTCAGTTGAAGTAGGTAAAAAGTGACCTGGCCATAGCAAACAATAGAAAGCACCAACATAGTACATCTTGACCACATAAGCCCTATGCTAGCCAGACCTTCAATCATTGGTTTAAATAGTACTTTAGACCAAGATTTGCAATTTTGTGTACTAATACTGTATGGTCAGGACTCAAACCGGTACCATACCAGCCCCTATCAGCATACCGAGTGTCGGTACATCAGTACATATCGAGTTTCGAAAAAACCTAAAAAAGGCTGGAAAAACAAAAAAAGAAACTGGTTAGTATAGAGCTTGTGCCACCTTGTACCAGTAAGTACCAATCCAGTACCCAGGCATATCAGGCAATACAAGCCCTACACTGCTTTGTATATATCCTAAATAGGGCATACTGCATGGTTTACAAGCAACATGTACCAGTAACCTATTGAACCGGTAAATACCACCCATACCAAACTGTACCAGGCAATATTGCAAACCTTGCTTTGGATGATAGGACTTGACTATTCTATTTTCACATCAACCAATCATGCCATATCATCTGTTAAAATAGTTCCATGTTTTTGAATGATTTCTCCATGTAAAATGCCTTGGAAGATCTCAAAATAAATTTGATAATGAAATTTAATAGTGTTGAAACTAAAGTTAGATCTCATAAATCATAATAAATACCAAGTTTTTGAATGAGCTCTCCGAGTTACAAGCATTTCAGAGCTCAAATAAAATAAAATTGTTAATAAATCATAAAAATTGGAATTTAATAGTTTTGAAGCTAAATGCAATATTCCAAGATACTGCAAGATGATAATATATTTAGTGATTTGAAAAAAATAACTTGGTCCAAGAAACTATGATGTTCATTTCCAATATATGCTACTAGATGTAACACATATAGGTTACTTTCACACAACTAGGTTATTTTCAGTTCTGTTACAAGTTAATAGCGAAGGCAAGAAATCATGACAGCAACCAAAAGTGAAATATCTTTTGGGGCATAAGGATTGTATCACAACTTGCAACACAATAGAATAATTTAAACAAGGAAGAAATTGCATTTTCAAGTAACATTTGCTCTAATGAAAGCATATCATGAATCTAAATAAAAAATAAACTTTTGGATGTCCTCTATATAACCAGCTTGTTTAGTTACTTTACTGGATCACTTATTTCAGTTGTATGAATCAAATTGTCCTTAATTTGTATATAAATACAATGTACTTGGTGTTTTTGGAACTTGAAACTGCTGGCATGTGTAAGGGAACCAATTTCCAATCTACACAAACCAAAAAGCGTTGATTTTGGCCAAACAAGTCAGAACTGGACATAATTTCTTTGGTTTCTGTTGAATCAGCTAACATCACACCAACTTTAAGGTTTCAATCACAGAATATCATAACACGATTAAAGGGTATCTAAAAGTTTCGACTAACAAGATCAGAGCAACCCCAATCAAACAATCAACAAGTATTAAAGCAGCTCTTGCAGGAACTGAACAATTGGACTCGAAACGAAAACGAACAAGAAAACGCCTGGGTAATAAAAGAAAGTTGTGGACAGGTTGGTAGCTGGACTGGCAGCTTTTAATAATTCTTGAGTTACTAAGAACTCTTTTTTACATTCAATAAAGGCACTCTCTATCTCATACATAATGATGAAACAAATAGAATCTGTCTGTGGTTAGCACCTTCTTGCTAAGCATACAAAGATGCAAAACACGATATGTTTTGATACTACAGAAAATCAGCCATGTTTAATATGATTTGAATTCAACTAGTTGATGTAAAAAAACAAGCATTATGATCACTTTTGCTCGAAAACATTTTTCTATGATATCAATTTACTAGCTCTGTGATCATACATATCAATTGATCCAACTTGTATCCAGTTGTTCAAAGAGAAGCAGCATGAGATGGACAATTATTCATGAAAAAAGGAAATAAAGAACAAACTGAAAACTTAAAGCAGAATAAGAAAGCTAATGGGATACTACACAGAAGCTTAAAAAAAAGCAAAAGCAACAAAGGAGATCCAAAAACTAAAATTTTGTGGCATGCATTTACCTACTACACATTGGAAGAACTAGTCACCACCAGCAGGTACCATGACCTCATCACCATTGCCCTCCAAAGAAACAAGTGCAAGGGCATCCACCGGTGACACTAGCACAATCAATTCAGAAGTTATAAGAAATTATTAATCAGCAGAGAAAAGAACAACTGTAAATTGTGCCTTACCCTCTGTTTCATTTCCTATCCAATCTTGTGCACATATCAAGCATTCTATAGTTACTGGATCTGTTGAACTCAGATACTGATTTAATGTTCTCGCATCACTATCTACTAGATCAACTGAAATAGGAATCCCCAAAATATCACGGGCCATCATAGAAAGAGCAGGATATTTAGCAGCATTATATTTCCACCAAGCTAAGATATCAAAATTGTCATCAGGACTGTTTGAGGGATGAACAGCTTCCTCCAAGTACATATCCAGATCAGATCTTGCTGGATGACCTGATGATGTCTCTTTAAGATATTGATCTAATCCACGTTGTGTATCAGACAATGTAATGTGAGATGTTTTACATTCTCCATCATTTCCAAATTCAGCACTACTATAGCCACCACTAGTCCCACTATAGAAGGCTTGACTTTTTAAAGAATTAGCTGACTGGCCTATATATTCATTGTAAAGATTTATAAAGCTGTCATGAACATTGTCGATCCTTGTCTTGGCTTCAGATGAGTCATCAAAAACTTTTGTGAAGAAGTATTCTACAGACTTCATCTTATATCGAGGATCTAAAACAGAAGCAATCGCCATAAGCATTCTGTTGAATTCCCAATACTGTTCGAATTTCTCGAGCATCTCTTTGGCCATTGATGCAATAAAAGGTTGTGGGCTCTTGTACCGGGTCTTCAAGAGAAAATGAATACCACACATCTCATTAAAATATAGACTGGCAGTTGGGATTCTTGTGGCTGAAAATTTCTCCATAGCATCATAAAACACTTCTAGACAATCAATAATAGCTCTAACATCATCCCAATCCTTGGGTGAAGGAAAGTCTATACTCTCTATGTCACATTCTGCCAAGTGTTTAAAAGCCTCTTGATACTGGCAAGCAGTTTTAAGCATTAAGTGTGTTGAGGGCCAACTAGCTGGAGAATCAAGAACTAATTGCTTTTGTGGAATGCCCATTTGCTCTGCATCTTTCTGAAATCTTGCTAGTCTTTCATGTGAGGATTTTACATATTGCACGCAAGCACGAATTCTACCGATGATCTCACAAGCCGAATCAAGAGCTGTCTGGACGACAATATTCAGCAACTGTCCACCAGAACGAGCATAGAACATTTCACCATTTGAGATGAGAAAGCCCTTCACACGAAGGTATCCAAGAAGCTCACTTGCCACCAAATCACTGGTGCCACAATTGTCTAGTACTATGGTACATAGCTTCCCATCTATATTCCACTCCAGCAACTTCTCCAATATGGTCTTGCTGATTTCTTGGCCCATTTCCAAAGACCCAACGTGAAAAAAGTTAAGAATTTTCTTCTGAAGCTGCCAATCATTATCAACATAGTGGCACGTCAAGCACACATACTTTGCATCCTCGATTGACCTCCACACGTCGATGGTGAGGCTAATTCGAGAATGTAGCTTGTCTAACACTTCAAGCAACCTGAGCCTCTCATTCTCGTATATCTTCATGCAATCTGCCTTCACGACGTCCGCAGAAACCAATTTAAACATCGGTTGAAGGTTCCTAATGAAGGTCCTGAAGCCGACGTGGTGGACGATGTTGAATGGGTAACCATGCAGAATGACCATGCGGGCAAGGTCTTGGCGGCTCGACTCCTGATCAAAATGAGAGTGCTCGGAACTCACAGCATCCTCGCTCTTGGCATCGGTTGACTTGAGGACGAGCCGGCGGACGACCAGCTTCTTGCGTTTGATCCGCTTGGTGGATGTGCAGATCACCAGGTGGTTCTTCAGATGCGTCGTCCCGCTCCGGCTGCTTGCCGTGAGCTGCTTCTTGCAGTGGTTACATATGGCGACGTAGCTCCCGTCTGCCTTGCGCTCCTTAGTGAAATCATTCCAAACCAATGATCTCAACTTCCGGGCTCTTGGATTGTGAACAGCGATAGTATTGCTATCGTTGGCCTCCATCATTGTCGACTATGCATATAATCGATCACCAACTACAACAAAAGAAAACCAAGATCAGAACTTTACCCAAGAAGAATTGCATCTGCTAGAAAACGAACCCAAACAATCTACGTACACAATGATGGAGAAAATCGAAGAAAAAAACTTATTTTGCATCGAGAAAACGACATGTGATCGAACAAGAACTGTAAACCCGGGAAGAATTGCATCAAATAAGACGCAAGTTCAGTTGCGTTTCATCTATGATCACAACAGTGTGACAACGGGACACATCAACGAAAAAGAATTTACCTCCGCTTCGAAAGAACGACGTCGATTGATTCGAAACCGAAACCGTGCCGGACTCCTGACGAAACCCAAACAAAAGTCGGAGGCCTAATCGGAGCTCCGGAGGAAGATGGATACGACCCTCGAAGGATGCGATCGAACCCCCTAATTAGAAGGATATCGGGGAGAAAGCGGGAGGCGAGGAAAAGGGCGCAGCGGAGATTAGGGTTTCGGTTTCGGGTGGGATTTGGGGATCGAATCGAATCGTTACAGGCGACGAATCGGATGGCATTCGGAACCGAACTTTTATCCCGAATTAAATAAGACTGGTTAACTTATCCCCGGTAAACGGAAGGATCCGCCTATGCGTACGAACCCGGATCCGATAAGGAATTCGATGATCCTCATATGGACTCGGATTCGGGTGGAAAACCGAGTCCGATGCCAAATCTTCTTATGGGTTGGGGATCCATGACCGACCTGCTGATGTTGTAGATAATCTGAAAGATGCACGGATGTGTTATCGGGTTAACGGGTTACAACTTGTTAACTTTGGAAGAAATAGAGGGTTAGTTTAATCCATGCATACATATTATTTTCGATTTGAATTAAACTGATATCATCAGAAATAATAAGCTTTTAGTGTTAATATGGCATACGGTAACCCGTTGGAAATTTTCCACATAAAAAAGTAGATAATGTCAACTAATTCATTATTGTGATACCCATAGCATCATATAATAATATTCTTAGATATTCTATAAAGAAGGATTTGTTCCCCAAAAAATCCAAAACGTTATAATGTTTATGCCATTGTGTTCCAAGAGAATATATCTGACTATTCGACCAGTGAAATCAAAGCATACAACTTCCATACAAGCAACAAATTTCTAACATTTACACGAGACATATATTGTTATCAGGGTTCGTTCACTAATTGTAATAGCACACATGAACGGAAGAAACCTCTGCAGATCGTTTTCAAACGGTTCACATATCATCAAGCAAAGAAAAGCATGCGATGAATTGCAACTCCAATAATACACACGTCTCCCTGAATAGACTGCTGGCTAATCATCATCTTCAAGAACACTTCGACGCCTCTGAATCTGGTGAACAAAGGCCAGAGACACATTATATTACTTCTGAAGGTTTAACCATGGGACAAAGTAATGTATGACGTGCATGTGGATGTTATCTTCTTGGGCATTATCACATGGAAGTAAGACAGCTTAAGGACAAGCAACTTACAGTGACTTTCGTCTGTTTACTGGTTTGATTGTTGATCTGCTCCAGAAGTGAGATAAGCCTCTCTTCAGATACCTGAAACCAGGCAACCAAACATATCAATAATCGAGGTTCATAATGGGATCAAAATGTAAGAAGGAATTTGCACGACAGCATTTGGACATATTTTAAATTAGACCTTTTCAGATAGCTGTCCCATTTGAGCAGCTCTAAGGAGAACATCCTCCACCCCCCTCGCTTTCTCAGGTTTCACCAAAGCAATACGAGCAACTATTAAGAAGACATATATGACCACATTGAGTAATGCTTTTTGAGAAGAACAAACATAATGGTTATATAATTTTGCACAAGAAGAATGCTTTGCAAAAATAAATAGGACTGCTAACTTCTACAGAACGCCCAACAAAATTCTACCAATAATGTAACACAAACTCTGTAAAAGTGTCTATTCTTTCTAAATCTTTTTAAGGGTGAAGGTAACAAATTACTTGGTAAAATAGAAGCCTGAAAAGTTGTTCCCACAAGTGCATATAAACTGTATTGTATACCTCAACAACCAGTCTTTCACCAAAATAATATTACTAACAATAATAATTCAATAAAACAATGGTCTGAGAGATGTTCAATTTTTGTAGCAAAAAAAGGGTGAAAAGGGAACCATAAATCACTATAAAAGAATGGATGAGTATGCCTTCACAACTGTGATTTTCTTTTTAGTCAGCATTTCAAACACTGACAATTTTTGCCACATGAAAGTGAGTTAACAAAAAAACCCTATCTGATCACAGCAATTGTCTTGCTGTTTAAGCACCACAATCACAGCAAAATTCTCAAAAGTTTTTTTAATACTTCTAAAGAGTTCAGGTGGAGGGAGAAATAACAAGGTTTACACATAGAGGAAAGTCCCATTTAAAAGACAAAAAATGAGCAAGAAGTCAATTAACAAGAACACAGAGCACTACAAAGTGACATGGTTACTACATGATGCAATTGCATAGCAAAATATTCCGTAAGCACATGCTTTTGCAAGTCTGCATGCTTCTTTCCTCTATTAAGTTGCTAATACTTCATAAACATAAAGATCAAAGCAACTACATACATATCCAAACATATCCAGTTACAATATTTGTAACCTTTTGTAAACCATAACAGGTAGTTACATAAGCATACTTCATCAGGAAAGAAGCCATTGTTCAGAGAAAGTTGTCAGGGCATCTATAATAAACTCTAAGGTGAAAGATAATAAAAAGAGCAAAACAGAGCCACTAAACTCCAATGGTGACTGTTTAAATTTTTACTAAATTATATATTAACCCCATGAATTCTGAGTTCAACTATACATCTATGTTATAATTAATATGCAAAATATATTAAATGAAAAAGCAAGGAACTAAAAGGTATCCACATCAAACACCATCTTAGGTCTGATTAACGCAATATGTAAATGAGGTATCGTAAATGTATGAAGGTGTTCTCCTCTAGAAGGATAGAATTGATACATAATGTATATGGATTTAGCATGCCTCTAGAGGTATCTGTATAACATAGCACAAACTGAACCAAAGAGGATAATCGGGGTCATCCCATATGATGGAACCTCATCAAATGGAAGAAAGAAAGATTCTACAATCTGTGAACTTGAGCAGAGAACTACCCACAATTAGAATTAAAGCAATGCTGCCAAAAAAAAATCCCCCAAGCGAAGACAATTAATAACCTTAAATCAGATGCCAGCAAACAAATTAATCTGGCAAAGAATTACTTAAATAAATACCTAAAAGTAGTAAACCACTACTTGTGAAGTTAAAATGTTAGTTTACTAATGGCTAATTTAACAGGTATACACCCTTTTGAACCATCAGCAAATTATGTAGAATATCAGAAGCATACTGAAGTGAAAAAAAACAATAATAACAACTTGCAAGACATAGAACAGCATTAGCAATATTCAAAGGCAACTCCATTGGCATAAGAAAATTTATTTAATAAAACACATACGCCTTTCTCTTGCTTGAGTTGACAGTATCTGACTAAGCATTAGTTGCCTACGTTCTTCAGCTTCCCTGTGTTTCAGTTTACAATAAGTTATCAAGATGGGAAAGATACGAATCTAATGGCGTTCCTGACAAAAAAACCTTTTGGCCTCTTCTTGTCCATTTTTCTGCTCACCATTGTGCTGATTACCCTGATCAAGAGAAAGCATAAACCAAAAACTATCAGTTACAAAGATGGCATAATTTGAAAGTTCTTTGAACCATATGGAGATAACTTACTACACCATGTTTTGCCATCAACTCTTGCATTCTTCTTTGCCTAATTTCTTCCAGCTCCGGATCATCCTAAAGAAAGAATACATATCATATTGTTAATTATATAGCATAACAAATATACGTTTTCAAAGAATCTACTGTATAAGCTAAAGAAAACACATATCCTTGTTGAAATTGAGGTTAAGGCATGCATCTTTATCAGATAAAAGAAAACAAAGAGAAACCTTGAATACAGCAGAAAAATCAAAGAGTAACCATGACCCAAACAACAATAAACATCAAAGGGGATAGCTTAAAGAACAGAAAATTAGAAGAATATCAAAACATAACAAAAGCCATCATATCTTTTTCATTTGTCAGAATGACAAAGGCGCAGAGTACAAGGCTTTGGTGTTAGTACTCGTGAAATCCTTCGCTTCCTAAAGAATCAACCACTAGGATTAAGATAAAAAAAAAGGGATCTGTAACCTTCTTGAGAAACGGGTATGACTAATTCGGATTTCAACCATCATTTTGTCTTTTTCATTTGTCAGAATGACAAAGGCGCAGAGTACAAGGCTTTGGTGTTAGTACTCGTGAAATCCTTCGCTACCTAAAGAACCAACCACTAGGATTAAGATGAAAAAAAAAGGGATCTATAACCTTCTTGAGAAACGGGTATGACTAATTCGGATTTCAACCATCATTTTGTCTTTTCCTCCAAATTTGAACCAAAATAAAGTTTCAGATGATACCCGTGACATGATCCCCACAATCCAGGTCACAAAAATAAGAAACTGACCAATCAAATGGAATCTTATTCAACTACACAAAGAGATCCGACACCACCACAATTTCTAGTCACCGTACTTTTACGCCGGGGGAAAATACGAGAACGAAAACATGAGGCTGAGCCTCAAAATTTACAAAGAACGAAGTAATATCACAGCATCGACAATCAAACCCCGAAAGAAAGACAGCGAAAAATAAATCAAAACAAAACCCTAACAAACGATCGACAAGAATGGAATTGATGAGAAGGAGGAAAGAGGGTTTTGCGATCATCCATACCATGTCGCAGAGATCTTGAGATCTAAATCACAGTAGCGCCCGACCTTTGGCTCGGTTCGCGACACAATCGCCGCCGCAGAACGCTGTTCTTTCGGTGGTATGACGCTATCGCTCTCTTTCTCCTTTTAGAGACCTTTTACGAGAGCTGATGGATCCCACGGCTGGGAGAATAGAATCCATATCCGATGTGTGTGATCGGGTCGGATTTGGGTCATCGATCCGTATCCGATATGTGAAAAGTTCATTTATCTCATAATATGAAAAATTCTTTGATTAATCCGCAATAGAAATGAACAAAATCACAAAACTAAAGATTATAAATAGTGTATATAAAGGATTTTGCACATCCATTTTGGAAATAGTATACCTACTCCTAATGAGTATATCTGTCCCTCTCAATGTTGAGACCCATGGATAACCCTCTTGTTTATTTCCATCCATAAAACATGGTTATTAATTTTAATTTGAATTAAAAAATAAAAATCGATCGTTTATATATATATATATATATATATATATATCAAATTTAATTAAGTATATATAGTAACGGAAAAGAAGAAATATTTATGCAAGATTTCGTATTTTATGTCGCACCCTCTTCTTTACCTGGCTTGTTATTGGGCATAGGCACCGGGCTCACCTTTTTAAACGCGCGGAGAAAGAAAAGTATCGCGTTATATAAACGATCGTCGGTGCAGCATCTCGGAGATGATCATCCACCGTTCGTTAGTCACTGTGGTCTTCCCA